TGGTGCATGGGGTTCGACCTCCCCAGGTGCAGCACTCAACACTTTCCCTTGTTGAACTTCATCAGGTTCCTCTTTGCCCAACTCTCCAGCCTGTCCAGGTCCCGCTGGATGGCAGTGCAGCCTCCTGGTGGATCATCCACTCCTCCCAGTTTTGTGTCATCAGCAAACTTGCTGATGGTACACTCTGTCCCCTCGTCCAGGTCATTGATGAATAAGTTGAACAAGACTGGGCCGAGTACTGAGCCCTGGGGAAGTCCATGAGCTACTGGCCTCCAACCAGACTCTGCACCACTGATCAGAACCCTCTGAGCTGTGCCACTCAGCCAGTTCCCAATCCACCTCACTGTCCACTCATCCAACCCACACTTCTTGAGCCTCCCTATGAGGATGCGATGGGAGACAGTATCAAAAGCCGTGCTGAAGTCAAGGTAGACAACATCCACTGTTCTCCCCTCATCTACGCAGCCAGTGATGCCATCCTAGAAGGCTACCAGATTGGTTAGGCATGATTTCCCCTTGGTGAATCCCTGCTGGGTACTCCTGATCACCTTCTTATCCTCCACTTGCTTGGAGAGGACACCCAGAATGAGTTGTTCCATCACCTTTCAGGGGACGGAGGTGAGACTAACCAGCCTGTAGTTCCCTGGGTCCTCCTTCTTGCCCTTTTTGAAGACTGGAGTGACATTGGCTATCTTCCAGTCGTCAGGCACCTCTCCTGTTCTCCACGACCTTTCATAGATGATGGAGAGTGGCTCAGCAATGACATCTGCCAGTTCCTTCAGCACTTGCAGGTGCATTCCATCGGGACCCATGGATTTGTGGGTGTCCAGCTTACTTAAGAGATCCCTAACCTGATCCACCTCAACTGAGGGAATGTCATCCTTTCTCCAAGCTTGCTTGCTTACCTCCAAGGACTGGGGAGCCTGAGGGCCAGCCTTGGCAGTGAAGACTGAAGCAAAGAAGGCATTCAGTAACTCCGCCTTCTCTGTATCTTCTGTCACCAGGGCACCCATTTCGTTCAGCAGCAGTCCCACATTTCCACTAGTCTTCCGTTTGCTGCTGATATACTTGAAAAAGCCCTTCTTGTTAGTCACATCCCAGCTACAATGTCACTCCTTACCTGTCCCTCTTCCTGCCACACAATTAGCCTCACAACCACCTCCCCTTTGCCAGCCTCTCCTCTTTCTTCCCTCATTTCGGCTGGGCTGGCAGAATCGCACTCCCCCACAGGGGCTCCAGAGCCTTGGTGGGACAGCTCAAGTGGTGGGAGGGCAGCCATGGATAGCAAGGACTCTGCAGGAAGGCAGGCAGGAGGGTGAAAAGATGGAGATGAGCTCTGTGCAAAGGAGCGGCTGGTGTGCACACAACCTCACCTTGGAGGAAGCCTCATGGGGTCATAGGTCCTCAAAACACAGCAAGTTGAACCATCCTAAAATCTCCTGGAAGGGCAGCAGGGCTAGACACAAGCAACCCAGGAGGTTTCTGCACAGCACTGCAGACAGCATTTTGACACCTATGGTCTGTGAGCTGTCATGGGCAGGTCTCCTACTCACAGACAAGATGAATCTGCATGGGGAGATGAATGCTGAGGGCAGCCATGGCTACAATGACCATGAGGTGGTGGAGAAATAGGACAACTAGCAGAATCACAGCAGAGAACTGCAGGAGATCTGATTTCAGTTAGCTGAGGATCTACTGGGACTGTCCTGCAGAGCAAAGGGACCGTGGGGTCCTCTTGGCCTTTCAGGGCCAATGTGTTCCAAGGCCAGGAACACACCAATCTGATGTGCAGGGAGTTGAGTGTGGCCCGGGGCAGGAGCTTGACATGGGTGAGCAGGGACTGCTGACTTAGGAGTTCAAACACCAGAGGGAAGTGCAGATAGGGTGAAAGGGGGAACAGGCTGCCCAGGAGACCAACAGGGGCATGGCCTGCAGGTACAGGGATGGGTCTAGGAAAGCCAGGGCATCCAGCCAAGAAGCTGGAACGAGCCAGGGATGGGAAGGGCACCCAGGACTTCTGTAAGTGGCCTCTCCCCAACACTGTCTACAGGGGTGATGGACACTGCCCCATTACCCTCCCTCCTCGGGAAGGTGAAAGAATCCAAATCCTCCTTCTCATTGATGCTGATGTCAGTGAGATCACTCCTTGGAGGCCTTTGCTCTGACCTCATCGTGGCCACAGCAAAGTTTCTCTTTGGCCCATTTGGATTGAGGTGGGAGAGGAAGGAAGAAGCTCCAGTGGTTTCTCAGGCTTTCCCTCCTCCCCTAATGGAAGATGTTGGGGAGGCCAGGTCTTGCCATAAACAGGAACTCAGCTGACTGGGGAGCTGGGACAGTTGTGAAGATTCTTCTTGAGTGACCTGAATGTGGATTTATGGCCCTGATGCACCATGGGCCTAGAGTGGAGAGCTGTGTTGGTCAGAAGTGCTTCAGAGAGGAAGAACTTAATGACAAGCTCCTTGGAGCTAGTTCCATAATTTGGTGAGGCACACTGTTGTGGTTTAGCATCAGCCAGCTACCAGGCACCACACAGCTGCTCTCTCAGTCCCTTCTGGTGGGGTGGAGGGGAGAATCAGCACAGTGAAAGTGGCAAAGCTCATGGGTTGAGACACAGACAGTTCAATAGGTGAAGCAAAAGACGTGTGCACAAGCAAAGCAAAGCAAGAAATTCATTCACTCCTTCCCATCAGAAGCGGCTATCTCCAGGAAAGCTCCATCACCTATCATGGTTACTTGGGAAGACAAACACCATCACTCTGAATGCCCCCCTCTCCCTCCTCCTTTCCACAGTTTGTATTGAGGACCATACAGCATGGAATATTCCTCTGGCCAGTGGCGGTCGGCTGTCCCAGCTGCCTCCCCTCCTAACTTCTTGCCTGCGCCCAGCCTGCTCACTGGTGGGGTGGTGTGAGAGGCAGAAAGGGCCTTGGCACTGTGAAAGTGCTGCTCAGCAATAACTGAACCATCGGTGTGTTATCAGCACTGTTTTCATCACAAATCCAAAACATAGCCCCATACAGGCTCCTATGAAGACATTTAAGCATCCCCCAGGGAAAACTGGAGCACCTGGACATCTTTGGTCTGGTTGGAGTTCAAAGTTCTTTGCGCTCCGGATGGCACATGACTCTATTTGGCCAGCTGACTCTCAAATTTTCCAGAAAAAGGAGGGGATGGGTTTTGTTGTCCTAAACGTGGGACTCTGCTGTCATATCAGTTGGCCAAAGCAATTCCTCACCATGTTAACAAACGATGCTCTCAACTGCTGCCCTGCTGTCTCTCAGCATTGCTGCATCAGAGCTTGCAGTTGCCTGCACGGGACCACCTCTGGCACATCAATGTCATCAGGTGTCGGCATCTGAACTGCTCACTCCTGGCCTCCACCTCTTTAATGACCATGGGAGCTGAGACAAGGAGCTCACGTCCAGCTGCCTGGTTTGCGCGCTCCTGGACTGAGGCAAGAGGAATCCCCCCTCCTGAGTGTGCATGGCAGGTGTCTGAGTCCCCAGGACTGCAAACCCAGGATGAGATACCTCGATTGACTCTGATTAATCCCTTCTCTCAGCAGGGTTAAAGGACATCCCTGCCTGTCACTGACTAGGCGTCCTAGCTAAGAATGGGACAAGAAAAGATGATGCTTAGACCTAAATCTGACTCTGGTGAGAGAGATGACATTACTGGAAATAAGTGTCCCAGGTGAGGGAGAGAACAGCAGTCATTCCTTCAGCCGCAGGGACACCCGGAGGGAGCCCAGAGGGGGCAGAGCAAGCGCTGCCTTGGGCTGGTCCTCTGCTGCTGAGCTGGGCTGGGCTCCTGGGATGGAGGGAGCTCCTGGCAAGCGGGCAGCACTGCAGAGAGACAGCTCTGCCCAGGAGCAGCTCCTCTGCAAAGGGCAGCAGGGCTGAGGGCACTTAAAGAGAGAAGTGACGTTAAAGGCAGCCTGGGGTGGGAGGTTGCTGAGAGCTCACTGGGGGAAAAAACTTCACAGCCCTCTACATGGTAAGTGCCTGGCTGCAGAGCAATGCAGCTGCAGTTCCTGGAGGGATCTTGTAATACGGACACATCCCACAGCCTGTGGCATCTTCCAGGAGGGCTCTCACAGGATCTCTAGGGTAGAGGAGGAGGATGTGCTCCAGAGCAGGGCTTCCCTGCCAGACCATCAGAGGGACATGGCATAGTGGTTGCCTTCTCCCAGGCAGAGCTGGCAGGGTATAACCCCGGTGTGCAGCCAGGGGTGCCCAGGGCTGTCCTCCAGAGCAGGGTCCCTGCACTCCAGGGGGCTGTGTGCTGGGGCAGGGGCTCTTCTGCCTGCCAGGGTCAGCACCCAACCTGCCCGGGGAGCTCCCCATGGCACTTTGGGGAGAAGCTGTGGGTGGAAGGAGCGACCCTCAGCAGGGCGGGGTCATTCTGCAGTCGAGAGGGTTCTGTGTGGGTCAGGGCTGCTCACAGCTCCACGTCACCCCCAGGACATTTTGGATAGGATGTTTCCAGCAGAAGGTCAAGTCAGGGATTACTTTAAGGAACAGAAAACTTTCCTGAGAACATGTTTTTGGTTCCCTGCTACTGGGAAGGCCTGGGTAAGGGAGAGAAATGGGAAAGAAGATGTTAAATTTGGAGAAGGGACTGAGACTGGCAGATTGGTAGGTCTGCTGGAAACCTGGTGCCATCCCATCACCCAGTCTTCACTCCAAGACTGTAGCAGCATCATTTTTTCTGGCCTTGAAATGTTTTCTTCTGACCTGCTCCTCTGGCCCAGCAAACAGGGGGTGCCCCGGCGTGTGCCGTGCCGCTGGGAGGTTTCTGCAGGGCAGAGCTCAGTTCTCAGAGTGTGGGCTGGGAATCAGAAGAGGAAGAGCTATGTGGAGAAGCAGCTCCAGGCAGTGGAGCTGTGTGAGGGGAGGAGAGGAAAGTGCTGTCAGAAGTGCTGTGGAGGGTGGATCGGGGCAACTCCCTGTCTGTTCCTCCTGCGCAGATGCCTTCTTCCCAGCAAGCTCTCTTCTCTCTTTTCCCACCCCAAACAGCTTCTACCCTGAGGACTGTGGTGTCCAGGACATGAGCTGCACCAGGAGGGGTGCCTCTCTCCTGCCATGTGCCCCTTTCCTCCTCTACAGCTGAAGGCTTAAAGTGACTGCCCAGTGATGCTGATGTCCATGGGTGGCATGCACAGCAGGTGAAGGGAACGTCTGGCTGGGGTGTTTCCCTGCCTCTTTGCCACCTTCGGCATGAGCAGAATGGTATTTCCCCCCGTTCCTACATCTTCCCACACTGCTGTTCCTGCTATTGTTGGAGGTTCTTAGGGTGTGGGGGTTTTTCAGACACTGACCCTGAGTGTCCTGCCACAGATGTGTCTCCATGGGAATACGCACAGCGTCCCTGCCTTGCTCTGATTTCTGGGACCCCGGGAATTGAGGACACCCTCCCTTCACAAGACCCCACCTTCTACCGTCTCCCTGTCTTCTAACCCGTGCTGCTTGGGGCAGTGCAGTTGATGGGGTTTGGGAAACAAGCAGATGCTCTCTGAAAGCCGTAACACTTCAGGACACTTGATGTCCCCTGCAGGGTCCTGTCAAGCTCTTCTCCACAAGGGCACAGCTCTCCCACAGCATCTTTGTGATATTGCAGAGCCCCACAGTGATACTGAGACCGTAAAAATGCTGCTGGGCTTTTCCCAGCATGGGTATTTGAGCAGGAGAAATGAGCCTTGCATGGTGTCGAGATCTGATTCTGGTGTGGACACAACACCCCAGAGTGCTTGGTCTGGTCACCTGCGTGAGGAACCACAACCTCTGTGCCACCCTCTGCCTCTTTGGGCTGAGAACGAGTGAGAGCAGTTTGGGGACTTTGCACTTTGGATCATGAACCCCCCAGCTCCGTCCAGTTCTTGAGGAACTTGTGAGTGGGATCATCCTCCAGCTGAGAGAGGCAGGATGGGGCAGCTGGGAACAAGATTGTTGGAGAGACCAGCTCTCCTGACTCTGCAAGAGGGCACAGGGAACCTTTTTGTGCCTCAGGACTCACTAGTGCTCATGCTGGGAGCGATCCAAAAGCAATCCTAGAGTGGTAAGATGCTGAGCAGCCTTCCTCCTTGATGGGTGCCTCTCAGGTGAGCGAGGATGTGCAGGCAGTGAGAGTCCCCACCCGCCCCTCTCTGGTGGCCGTGCCTGCAGGTGAAAGGCAGAGGGTAAACTGAAGGGAGGAAAGAGTCAAGTGGGAGGACAGAGCCTACCTCAGCAGTGACTCAGAGCCAGGCACCTTTGCTCAGAAAGAGAAATCCCTGCCACGGTGCTTCTCCAGAGGCAGGTGGCCCAAGTGCTAACGTGCTCTTTTCCTCCAGGTCATGGAGACTGTTCCCACGGGGTCCCTGCATCCAGGCCTCCTGCACTCAGCCCACACTGTCCATCCTCAATGACCACCTCAATACGTGGGGCTTTTTGCGGCTCCTGTGTGCCAGCTGCCATAGAGCAGGTCTGACTGCTGAGGAGCCCATGGGATGAGGCCCCTGCTCCTCATGGCACAGTCAGCCAGAGAAAATCAGGACTGAAGGGAGGAAGCTGCATGAAGGTCCTCTCTGAGGAGAGAGGTGATGTGGACGGTTGTGATGACAAGCAGAGCAGGTTTTCCTCAGACAAGGCTGCCCTAACTTCTGCACATCTTTTTCTCCTTGGGCAGTACCTGAGTCCCAGAGGGACCAAATGTCCAACAGCAGCTCCATCACCCAGTTCCTCCTCCTGGCATTTGCAGACATGCGGGAGCTGCAGCTCTTGCACTTCTGGCTCTTCCTGGGCATCTACCTGGCAGCCATCCTGGGCAACGGACTCATCATCACCGCCATAGCCTGTGACCACCGCCTCCACACACCCATGTACTTCTTCCTCCTCAACCTCTCTGTACTTGACATGGGCTCTGTCTCCACCACTGTCCCCCTATCCATGGCCAATTCCCTCTGGGATACCCGCACAATCTCCTACTCAGGATGTGCTGCCCAGGTCTTCTTTCTCTTCTTCTTTTTTGGTGCCGAGTATTCCCTTCTCACGGTCATGGCCTATGACCGCTACATTGCCATCTGCAAACCCCTGCACTATGGGACCCTCCAGGGCAGCAGAGCTTGTGTCTACATGGCAGCAGCTGCCTGGGGCAGTGGCTTTCTCCATGGGCTGCTGCACACTGCCAACACATTTTCGCTACCTCTCTGCCAAGGCAATGCTGTGGACCAGTTCTTCTGTGAAATCCCCCAGATCCTCAGGCTCTCCTGTTCAGACTCCTACCTCAGGGAAGTTGGCCTTCTTGTGTTTAGTCTTGCTTTAGCTTTTGGGTGTTTTGTTTTCATTGTGCTTTCCTATGTGCAGATCTTCAGGGCCGTGCTGAGGATCCCCTCTGAGCAGGGACGACACAAAGCTATTTCCACCTGCCTCCCTCATTTGGCCGTGGTCTCCTTGTTTCTTAGCAGTTGTATGATTGCCTACCTGAAGCCTCCCTCCATCTCTTCTCCATCCCTGGACCTGGTGGTGGCAGTTCTGTACTCGGTGGTGCCTCCAGCAGTGAATCCCCTCATCTACAGCATGAGGAACCAGGAGCTTAAGGGCGGCTTGAGAAAACTCATTTAATGGGCTCACCTCCAGCAGCAGTAAGCTGCCCACATCTCCTCGCGGGTTATTCCTAGTTCCTCCCAGCACCAGCTTGTGTTTTATTAGCTTTTGCATCTGTGAGGTTCATGCTCATATGGAAATGTTTGGATTTATTCCATAGCTCCACAGGCGTGATCCTGATGTACCTACTAACCTAGAGGCCTTTGGTAGATGTGTCATCACAGTGTCAGACCTGTCCTCCTGAGGAGCAGCTCTGCAAGAAAAGGGTGCCTCCCCGGCGCAA